AATGTAGAATTCCATTTCAGCCTCACACATCACTCCTAATGCTGTTTACATCTTTAAGTGTTGAATGGCAACATCTCACCTCTACTGAGATGACAAGATATCCAAAATCAGAGGTAATTCTGTAAAACTCAACCTTTACACACAAAAGCTGTGACAGAACAACATTAATGTTAGCCCTTCCCAATATCTGACTTTGAAAGCATAAAGTTTCTATGTCGTGCTTGAACCAAATGCTGTGTATATTACACCACCACTAGCTGACATCTAAAAATCAAAAGTACAGTCTTTTGGTTCCAATAAAGAACCTCATATGGAAGAGAGCCCTTTCTACTGGCTAATCTGCTTAATGTGATCCAGTTACAGGAGGGGCCCTGCTGAACACGTTAATAGAGATAGCTAACGTACACACAACCAGATTACAGTAACTTTACACGTTTTTCAGTTTCTTCCATTTCTAAACTCTTTCAGAGTTTGATTTTTTGTGCAAAACTGTTTGGTTTAGCAGTCTGAATGTGAACTGATAAGACTCCCAGAAAACAGACCAGAAGCCCCATCTTCTGTAACTGTATTAATTCCACCTGCAGAAAACATATCAAACTAAAGTCATCAGAAACGTGAAACAGCTCTATAGCACAGGCAAAATAAGTAATGACTGTAGACCTTACGCAACATAAGCTTAGTAGGAAAAAAGTGATATATCGGTAACAGCTGACATGACCATTGGCTGCATAGCAGAGAACTGAATTGTACTTTTAACTTTGGAGAGGACACTGTTTAATGATTACAGGCAGGTATGCTAAGCATATATGCACAAATACACACAGACTGAAAAGATGAATAGGTTTCCATATGCCATATGAAATGTGAGATTCTAATCCAAGCTCACAAAACCCTATTTTGCCTGCCTGTAGAGATGTACTGTAGACCACAAAACACAAAAGAACAGTATGAGCTGTTACTTCAATATCGCTATGCAATGCACAGAAGGAAAAATGCATTACATTACATGCAGTTTTATTTACAAAAGGGTTTGTAACTCAAGAACTTAATAAATTACAGCAAGCTGTAAAAGAGAGCAGCAACTTAAAGGGTGCGTCTTTTAGTTAATAGAGAACTGGGGGAGAACACGACTTTTTAGGTTAGCTCAAGTTTTACAAAACATCACTGTGTCATATACGGCATTATGTGGTTCTTTAAATCTTTACAAACAGCAATCAAGAAACAGCACACATCTGAGAAACCAGGTATAGGAGAGTATCAAGGTGGTATTTCCAAAATATCACCAGACATCTAGGTAAACTTTTAGACATCTGAACAACTTCATCTGACCCACAACCCATCAATTCACTAGCTACTTTTAGAGGCTGAGTGGTTAAACAAGGATAACAACTACTGTAAGACATCTTCCATTTTTTTTGTTATACATCCACCAAATGTATTTAATTACAGAATTTTCAAATGCTGTTTGTCTGCATTTTAACGAACTGCAATTTCTATTCAAATGCACAAGTTATCTTGTAAGAAGTGAGTCATTCACCACTTCCTGGCATAGTAAGATAGAAATGAAACTGCTAAGCTTCATTTCTAAGCATGCTAAGTATCTGCTGAAGTAAAATACGTACAAGTTTGTACAGCATCCTGCTTAGTAAAAGATTACTAAAGGCCATATCCATTACAAAACATGTTTTAGCAGTTACATAAACAAGTAAAAATGCACTTTTTAGTTTACTCCCTAAAGACTGAAAGATAAGATGAAGTTATAATTACTGATTTAAGTCATATTTGAAAAATAGGAACTGAAAGCTGCTGACTGAAAAAGAGACGGTGGTATTAATATCAGTCTTTTGGTTATCCAGCGTGCATCTGTTAATTATTTGTTTCAGAAAGTTATCATAAGCAATCACAGAAATTAAGAAAATATTTATATAAAGTTATAAAATAATCCTTTCAGCAGGAGGTTGGACCAGACAACTTCTAAAAGTGCCATCCAACCAATATCCTCTGACCTTATGAAAATCTGAACCAAGTTTATTCTGTAATTCATCTCCTACATGTAAATAAACTTCTTAATTTTCTCAAATAATTTCTATACACGTACACACATATGATGTATATTTATATTACACATGTATATCTTTAAAAACACTCCCAAAAGGTGAAGACAACTCAATAGTGGGAAATACTGAATATAAAGCAACTTAGATTCTAGAAAGTTAAAACATTTCTCTGATTACTATTAGTCACAGGTAAGCCCAAAGAAGAAAGCCACAATTAAAGATACACAGCTGTTACAAAACCTGTAATATAAGCTATAAATTTGGGAAAAAAAACCCACCACAAAAAACACACAAAAGAAAAACCAGTAGAAACAAAGGAATTATTGAGATTAGTCATGAACAGCTGAATTCAAAATAATTACTGGCTTGATGCTAGACATGACTGCATAAATATTTCAGTAATGCTAAAGAAAAGTTATATTTTTGTTCTGCTTTCAAAAAAAGCAGAGTGACATTCATTTCTTATAATCATAAAGGAAATACTTCCTATTCTATTGGTAATAAGAAACATAAGATACAGCAAGTGTTATTAATCATACAATGTCATCAAGTCTGGAGAACCTGAATCCAGATTGCTTCTTAAAGTCAGCCTGAAACTCATGGGCAAGTAAAACTTGGGTGCTCGCCATTTATTAAAAATACTAACAACTTCAAAATGATCATTATCTAAACAAAGTTTAAAAGTGAAACTGAAGAGAACAGTCCATCAAGAATGACAGCAAGACTTCCCTGCTTAAGCTGCTACAGCCTTGTATCTTTAAGATTGCTTTTAAATGTGTTAGGGTTGGTCTTCCCCACCATTTCTCTCTTTAAAAGAGCAACCAAAATATTTGGCAATATATAGCATCAGTCATGCACTGATTCTTTCAGACTACTGATGACTGGTGAGTGCATATAAAGCCTGACATGTTCTGTAAGGTATATTAATCCTCCTTTGCATATAAGGAGAGAACCTTAACAGTTTTAAGCTGTAATAAACAATAATAACAAACCAAAATTAAATTAAATCTTGTGCTAAAGAGAGCATAGAGTCAAAACTGTAAATACATAAAGCAGACCTTTTATTAGTTAAATTACTCTCAGTAGACATAAAGAAGAGCTGTCACTTTAACAAGGCGTAATAAGAATGTGTGTTAAGTGTTTAGCTTGCAGAGTTAGTACTAAAAGAGCAACCTGGACTCTTTCATTAAAGCTACTGCAGAACTCTGTTACTAGGAATAACAGAAAGACAGAAAGTACCAATATATGCAGATTTTTTTTTTTTTTTTTTTTTAAGGGAAGGAATTAAAAAAGGTTTTAAATAATTTTGTGCTAAAGAGAGCATAGAGTCAAAACTGTAAATACATAAAGCAGACCTTTTATTAGTTAAATTACTCTCAGTAGACATAAAGAAGAGCTGTCACTTTAACAAGGCGTAATAAGAATGTGTGTTAAGTGTTTAGCTTGCAGAGTTAGTACTAAAAGAGCAACCTGGACTCTTTCATTAAAGCTACTGCAGAACTCTGTTACTAGGAATAACAGAAAGACAGAAAGTACCAATATATGCAGATTTTTTTTTTTTTTTTTTAAGTGAAGGCATCTAAATAGGTCTGAACTAATTGTAAACCAGTCAAATTTGATCAGTAATCAATACACAGCTAAACTTCAGTGTAGAACACCTTTTTCCCCCCCCCAGAAATTAATTGTACTGATTTTTAGAGTTTGCTCTTATGTCAGTGTCGGGGCAGGGGGGCGGAAAAAGAACTATTGGTCATATCTCATCTCACTGTGAGTTGGAAGTCTCTCCTTTTAAGATGGAAGAGTCACTATACTTTGCTTAGGCAGTCTAAATAACAAGGACAGTAAAATTGCTACAATTTCTTAAAAATATCTATGTCTCTATCTAAAATACAATTTTATGAAGCATTTGTGTGCTTAGCTAACAAGATCCAGATTATTTGGTAGGTATTGCCCTCAAACAATCCCAGAAGTCAGAATGAGGTAATTAGCAATCCCATACTACTCTGAAAACATATTTTAAATTCACTTATCTTCCATGACACAAAAAGCCTTGCAGTTAAGAGAGTCAATATGGCTAACCAAGAAAAGAGACTGAAACATCATAACAAGCGATAAACAAAAAACTATTAAGAGCTCCAAAATTTTTTAAAGATGCCCCTATTAATCTAGATTAATACCAGCTACTACAGGTAAGCTTAGTACTCACATTACGTGAAGCAAAGCAATAGTTATAGAAAGTAAGAGGAAACTACATTCCTCTCTCCAGCACCGGAAGGTTATTGTGTTCTCATAATGAGGACAAAAAAAAAAACCCGACAACACGAAGTAAACAACGCTGTCTAGCCAACAATGGCAAGGCTAAGTAAAATCAAATCCCTAGGAGAATTCAGCTTAGTAACCAGACCATCATGAGAATGCACAATTCAAGGCAGCATGGTAAGGGGTTTGGGTTTTTGGGGGGTTTTTTTATTTATTTTTGATACCACCTCAAGCCATGCCAGAGCATTCATCTAAGAGGCAGCAGTAACTCCAAACAATCACTTCCATGTTCCCAATTTTCTAAACTGCACAATCTTTCAAACAAAAATAGTCTCTCTTTTATTGTTAAATTTTAAAATAGTACACATAATTTGAAGTTTGAGTAATACAATGGAGCAGGTCTGATTTGATCACAAATAATAATTTTAAGATACAGCTCTGGTTAACAAAGACTGCCAGTTACAAACCCATAATACCTCTACCTATAGATTTCATAACATTTGTATGAATTCAATTCCCATTTCTGTAGATCTTCCAAGAGATTATGAAGGAAATGCTTTGTCAGTTTTACTAGGCAAGAACGAAGAAACAGGAAGACGCTTAAGTATAGGTGTAACTTAAGTCGTAGATCCCAGACTCATTAACTAAATACAGCAAGGTACTTCTGGTAGGTTATTTACTTACCTCCACTTGCTGATTCTTGCTCTTCCCCTTCAGGAAACGTAGTCTGGCTTGGTAAGCTATTCCTAGAACGAGTGACTGACTCTAAGTGTGAAGCCCTTCCCAACAGAGATAGCTCATCTAGCACCTCTCCTTCTTTGGCTTCCAAATCAGATTTTGAAGTGGTTAACTGTTTTATGTTACCTGGTGCCATTAAACTATTTGGGTCATTTAAACAAGCTACAGTACCACTGTCCAGGCTTAACACTCTGGCACGATTCTTGGCACTGTTTGTGCTAGAAGTCCGACGTGTAGATCGTTTTTTGCTAATTCCTTCAGAGCTTACATGGGTTTTGTGAGCATTTTCAGGGTCTGTGCCGCCACGTTCTTTAGAAACATATTTGGTCTTTAGAGCACTGTACTTTCCCTCAGGAGACTGGCATGAATGGGAGGTGGTGCTGGAAGAGCTATCACTGCTGAACTGGTGAGCTGACTGCATACTTGATGTCCTGCTCAAGTCACTTTGATCACTGGAGTCCTCATCGTGACAAAACACAGCACTGTGAGGTTTAGTACCAGATACACCTCGGAAGGAAACATATTCCCTGTGCCGACTTGAATCAAAACTACTAGCCCGCTTTTTTCCTGTCCTTCTCCGGCTAGACTTGTGGGTAGAGGCTGTTCGATGTATTAAACTAGAAGATTTTGGTCGAACATCTCCTTCTTTTTGTTTTCCACTCGTTTCTTTAGAAGCCCTTGAATCTAATAAGACAGCTAGTTTCTCAGTCTGCTCATCTCTCTGTTCAGCAGCCTTCCCAGGTGGCCTGTCAGCTTGCGTAGTCAATTCATTGGCATGTGGGTTCTTATTGGCCTCTTCTGAAGCAGAGGCACCAAGACACTTCTGACTGTGCATCTCATCAGATGCATTAGAACCCTTTACCTCTTGAACACCACTGTTAGTGCTCACTTCCACAGCAGTCCGTTCGCTACTAGTCCTTTTGTCAGTAGAACTACTGTCATCCTCTGAGTCAACACCACAGTCTTTTTTCTTACCATCCTTTTTTTCTTCTCTAGGAGATTCCTCCTCGTGCTCTGACAACACACTTTCTATATGCGTTGAGCTAGTATGTTCACTTTTATAGCTACTGATGGTACTGTTAGTGTCACGATCAGTCCCACTGCAGTAGCTTTCTGTTGAACCACTGCTTCTAGTACTCAGGCTTCTCAGACTGTCCACACTTTTGTCTGCTTTCAAGGATTTGCTCTTCCCACTCTTAGCCAATGGTTGAGGGCTGCTACTTTTCAGAATGTCATCTAATTGAAAAACTCCTGAAATGCAAGAGTTCTCAGCCAAGGACTCTCTGGATGCAGAAGGGGGCTTGGAAGCTTCTAACTCACTGACAGGATCTAGTCCTCGTCTTTGCTGATAGAGAGGGAAGTCATTTAGTGAAGCATCTGGAAAAGCGACAGCAGAACTAGAAGTCCTTGGTACACCTCGTGGTCTATGATCCTTCCTATAGGAGTGAGAATGCAGAGTTACAAGCGAAGCTACTTCTGTGTCACATGCACTGGTTTTAGACTGGTCCACAAGCTGGTTGTTCGAGAGGCACACTTTGTCACTGTTGTCTCTCAGCAAATCCTGTCCAGATGATAATGACGGTTGGATGGAGACAAACGAGTCATTCGACACCAGACGAAAAAGCTTCCGATCAGTTGCCAAATCTGTTTAAGTACATATTTAAAAATATTCATGTAGAATGTTCTTGTAAGTTATACAGTCTGCTTTACAACTGCTTGTTTATATCAGATAAAGCAAATGAATTTGTCAGTTTATTTACAAGTACTACGTATCACATTACCATTTAAAAGACTTTCTAGCATCTGGGCAAATCTGACAGACTTTTTTTTTTTATAAAAAAGAAACCATCAACACCAGCTTAATCTTAGCAGCTAATAAAAGACAACACAATTCTGACAAGTCCCCAACCTCCTCTATTGCTCATGTGTCTCAGACTTAATGTTTTTATGTACCCCAAAGTTTCTTAATTATAAAAGGGTACCCTGCCTTTTGTTTTATTTCCTACATGCAGTAAACTGTTTGTTTCACATAAACTTTAAAATTATTAAAGAAAACAAAATAAACCCCATTAACTTTGAAGTCACAAAAAAGCCAACAAAAATCACCTTTCCTACCAAGCTCACAATTAGCAAGGATGTAGGCGCTGGCACAGGTCTCTTGGTACTATAGTGAAACTCCCTACGAAGTTACTGAGTTTTACTACCTCTAAAACTGGTGCTGTTAAAGCAAATCATGAGGATTTGCTGTTAGCGCTTGGTCAGAACAATTGTTTCCGTTATCCATCACAAGCAGTCTCCTGTAAAAGCATCCACCTGCAGGTAGTATTGAAAGTCAGGCTACTTTCCTCTTTGGTACTGTCACTAAAAATAGAAGATCTGGAGGCCAGGTTAAGTTACTACAATTGCTAAATTTTTGTAGAGTGTATTTGCACACGTGTAACTTAAGAGACTTCACAAACAGTTCTGTTAGTCAGCTGAAAGTAGTAGAACCCTGCTGCCTATTACAACAGCACGGCCACTTGTAATCCTCTATTTTAAACATACTTTCTGCACTGAATCACACAGTAACGTCTGAAAGGAACCCATCAATCTGACTAGATTGGCCAAAGTGAACTACTGTATTCCCAGAGTTAACTTCCTGCTAATCACCAGGTACTTCAAAATCAGCACACAAAAGATTTCCCTACAGTTTTATGCTCCGTTTTAAGCTGAGCAGATTTTTTCCTGGCAATGAAGCTAAATGAAAGATGAGATCCGAAACAAAATTGGAAAACTGAGGAATACAAGCTAGCAGTCTTCTTACATACTAGGAAAAAACAATTACAAAACTCTGATAGCTTGCATATTAGAAGCAGTCTATAGCTCCAGAAACACAGAACTCTGCACAGGATCATTTACTTTACAGAAGAGCACATGTAATTTAAAAAAATTCATTTGGCTGTACTGGAAAGCAAAGCAATTTAGTCTACAACGAAGTCCATGAATTCCAGGCCACTTTCAGTATAAGAGACATCATCTAGAGACATGTAAGCTAGCTATCTTTCAGCAGTAAGGAGACAGTAAATATTTATTACCTGCTGGAAGATGCCAGAACAAGAAACACACAGCCAAAGAATAAAGTTAAAAGAGTATTCAAGCTATGTATCTCAGGAACTTAGAGTAATTAAGAAAGGAAACAGAGAGCTTCAAGATACCCCTTCTTAAAGTCTATCAACAAATTGCATGAATTTATTTAGCATGTTAAGCAAAGGGTCTTTGCTAACAAAATACCATGTTTAATATGCAGAAGAAGAAATTTTACCTTGTTCTTCACTCCCTTCTTTACATAGGCTAGAACTCTGGCCAAGACTTAAACTGATATCATCAGAGGTCTTGGCAGTGTCAGTATCTCCTGTGAATTTTAAGAAAGAAGAGTACTAGTGCTCAAAGTATTAACACATACATCTACATACACTGCAGATTTCTCACCTGTCATGAAAGACTGTTGCTTTTCTTTCTTCATTTGAAAGTAAATAACAATAATTACAAGTAACAAGATTTCTCTTATCTTTTACAGGTAAGTATTGTCTACTCTATTTCTTTTATTTTGTGTATAAGAAAGTTTTCATTCAACTACACAGATCTTCCATGGAGAACTGGAAAAGTATATTTCCATTGGGTTCTGTGTAGGAAAGATTTTTTTTTTCCTTAAATATATATCTATTTGAATATTCCTTTTTGCATGGTTGCCAATAAAAATGAGGGGTATATTGTAACAAAATACTTGTAAAGATATAAAAGGTAAAGAAAAATCAGGAAGGTGACAAAAATTCACATCTCATTTTCTTTTGTCTTATTATTGGCTTAACAAATTTACAAGATAGCAACTTTGCATATTACAAATAATTTATCTTTTCATCTCAGAGGAGTTCACAAGTGTGTCCTGGACAATACTTTTGCTAGATGCCAAGCAACTAGAAATAATCAAGTCATTGAAATACAATACCAGAAGGGCGATTGGTTGCACAGAACTCAAAATAGTAGAGAAAAGCCCACTCAAACCAACCCCTTGGCTCTGCATTTACGAGCAAAAGAAAAGCCTGTTGTTACATGGAAAACAGAGCACAGATTCCAGGATGTTCTCTCCTAGTGTTTTAGGCACATAATTTACAACTCCAAGGAAGATTTCTTCCCATTAGTAAATGCTGTACTTAGCTCACAAAAGAAGTTTTGAAGATGAACAAGGTAGACAGTATTTGGAAACAACATAGCAAACAATAGTTATTTGAAGTGCTACTGCAAGGTAGTTTTAAGAAGTAGCCAAAAATCTCACCTTTGATGGTTGCTGCTGTTCCCAGACGAGATAACCCAGATCCAACCTAGAAACAGGGAATTATGTAAAAAGCTGTAAAGTTTCAGGAATTACCCAACTGTTGTTTCCTATTACTGCAATGCAGGCATTTGCCTATACACCTAGGAGAGATTTTCAAAGGCACAAAAGCATCCAACAGCACAGTGCTGTAAAACCCTTTCTGACTCAGAATGTTTCCACTGCAAATAGAGATGACAAGGCATCTAATCATGCATCCAACTATATCACTGCATTATTCTGTTTTATAGCCAATGTACTTGGAGATTTTACTATGCTGATTTTAAAAAGTTTCTAATCTAGGAATTTTCCTTGAAAATACTTACTATGGAAACAAACTACTAGTGTGGTGGTACACTAATGACTGCTGTTGTAAAGCTGAATGTTTAATGCAGTGATCACAGTTGCCTAAAATGCTTAAAGATAACACCACATTGATATAAAACTTAGCTGTTCAACATAGTAACCACCAAGCTGAATCCAGAAACTGTTCCTATTCGAAAAGATACATTTTTACCAGGGTTAGTCTTCAGATCTGTCAGAGTTGATCCAATGACCAGGCAACCACAAGAACCTAAGTGTTGGTACATGGAAAGTGGCAGCAGCATGAACAGGGGATATGGCAGGATGATACCTGCTGGCAGCTGAATAAACTTAAATCAATTTAACCTAATCATTTTACTGTGTCTTTTTCCTCCCTCTCATTCCTGCAAATGCAATTTTTCTTTTGAAGACAGTTTCCAAGTATACAGATTGCAGTTACCTCAGAGCAAGTAAACTGGTCAGTGGAAGACTGTGCAGTATTCCTTGATCTATTCTTGGATATTAGTTACAATCACTTTTCAAATCTGTAGCATCTGCTTTTCAGCCATGTTCAATGGCCAACCAGCAGGCATGTACCTCCTCGTATGAAAATTAACTAGCCATTTAGGTTTGCAGTCTGCCTTTCTACATACGTCCTGTGATCTGTAGTGGATTATTTTGCAGAGGTGCTAAAGAGTATTTAGTCTTTCCTTCAATAATATTTCCAATACCACCTCTCTCAAAGAACTCCAAATAACACACAAAAATGCATGTGTCAAATAATTAAACCACTCAGAAATAAGATAGGAGAAGAGCACTCAAAGGCAAAATCTGAACCCAAGATACATAAAAACGATGGCAATTTGACTTCACTGTATACATATTGGGATGCTGTTTTTCAAAAATCCCCAGTTCAAATGACTCTGGGGAAAAGAGCATAATTCTACTAATTCTTCTCTGTAAGCACAGCAAATTTAAGGTAATCTGAAGATGTGTGCAGATTTTATTCAGCCATACTACGAAGAACAATAGCTTTGCTATATGTAATGCAAAAAAGCAGCCGGAGCTTGTTTAATGCATTTTCTTTACTACACTGTCATGCACATTTTTAGTTAGTCATTTTGCCATGTTTCAACTTTTTTTTTTCCCCTTCAGTAACATGCCTTGCTGAATGCTGTAGCTGAATGCAAATGCATCAGCATGGGAAAGCTATTTCACACAAAAAACTGAACAGAACTCAGATGCCTACTGTTCACATACCCTTTTGATGCTGCAAATTCAATCACATGGGACTAGCGAGCACTAATTTTATCAGCATAAACACCTTTCAAACACTATACTCCTTTCGCAGTAGCTTTAACTGTGTTATAGTGTCAGCATTAAAGCACACAGGAAAGAACACAGAGCTTCTTCACATGCTTTAACATTAAAACCGTTATGAGTATGTTTGGAATAGTTTTTTTTCCAAAGACCAGTCAAAGAAACACGATCCCCAGCCTAGTTCTGTCTTCCTACATGGACCATCACTTCCTATTCCTTTGAACACTACCAAATACCTGCTATCTTCAAAGGAGAAAATCTTTTAAGAGTATCTATACTGCATAACAGAGCATTATTCAGATAAAACATCAACATTAGCATAACATTGCACTACATTATATACTGCTTCCTCAGAGAGCTAATTAGAAGGACTTGATACTGTAATACCACACCAAGAGTTTCCACATCATTCAAAAATAGCTTCTGTATCTTTAATATGATGCTGCATTGCTCATTGTCAACATAACCTTACAGTCTGGCCAGTCAATCTACTTGTCCTCATGAAGAGTTGGTAAAAGAAAGATGCCACAACTGGCTAAATATCACAAGCCAAATAGAAGGAACAGCACATGCAGTGCTATGGAAGTTGAACGTATAAATCTAGCAGACATAATAAGGAAACAGAACAACTTCCCCAGTGAAATTACAAGGCAACTAGAGCATAATGAAGTTGCATTAAAATCTAATAAAGCCAAGGTCTTCAGCACTTCCATCTGGTATGCAGCAGCCCCTATTTATTGCTTTCTTCCCTCCACTGTTGAAGTGTCAAAATAGTGAAGATTTTGCAGAGGTCATCCAAAAACAAACAAGTTTTAGTCTTTCCATTTCTACCAGTTTATCTTGCTTTGTATTTTAGCAAACTAACATTTTTGACTGCGGAGGCAGAACTGTCAGGAATAATAACCTTCAGAAAGCCATTTAGCATTGCAAGAGATAATCAGCAGTGGATACGTTCTAAGACGACTTAACAGAAGCCTCCTCAAATTCAGCACAACTGAAGTTTGCCAATTAAGCATCTAAATGACAGACCAAACAAAAGTAAGGGAGGAAAACAGTTAGAACATAAGGGTGAAGTTACAGCTTGAGCTATCTAACGACTCACTGATTCCAAAAGGAAGAGGTAAGCCCACCACAGTGGGTCTTGGTACTTATCTGACCATGCTCTGAGCCATTTTGATTTACTAAATCAGAACAAAGCTAACTGAGCAAGAGGGAATACTTTCTGATGAGAGTTTAGGTTGCCTTATAAAATCCAGCCACTCCCAAAATGAACACAAGATGGGACGAGCAAGAGCTATGCAGCTGGGAGAGTGCAATGCCACCCTAATAAAGCAGTTAAGAAATACAGAAAGGTAAGTTGTTTAGCCTAATATAAGAAAAAAAACAGTAAAGATTACACTACAGATTGCAAAGCCAGCAGTACTAAAGCAACAACTGCAGTAGCTTTAATTCTTACCTGGTTGTTTGGATCTACCCCAGCATAAGAATTGCGTGAACTACAGCCAACAGGGGGAGTTGCTTCTCGTATGAACTCTGACATCTCAATCCCTCCACCAGGGTCACTGAGAGAAACATAAAAGAAGGAAAAGGAAAAAAAAGAAAAAGAACATTAACCTACCAGTCAAACAGAAGTTTGTCTGTCTACGCTGAGTGTAGATTCAAAACATTTTTTCCCTTTTCAAATATCAGGGGCCCAAATATATCCCAGTATCTCAGATGAATACTGCCCATTGACACAGGAAGCTCAGCCAGAGCTGGAGCGCCCTATATACTGTCATAGAAGCTGCTGCCTTGTAAAGTCCCCTGTCACCACCCAACACAAACCATGAAGACTTAGGAGCTACAAGGCATTTTGAAATGCTGACATATGAAATTCTCTCTGTCCATACATACACACATGTAACTTTCAGATCATCTGTCCAACTGTAATACCCAGAAATCAATCAACAGAAAAAGTACTAAGTAGAACTCTTTCAAAGAGCAGGGAAAGGACTCCAGATCTTTTCCTTAGACTGGATCCAGGAGCAAAAGTAAGGATGGGTTAACCAAGAAAGCCACATACTGGCAGTAAAAGTTATTGGAAAGAGACATACAGGGACACGGTATCTCCCCCAGGGATGCAAACCACTTCTTTCTACCAGAAAATTACCTCCCTTCAGATAATTTACAGGCCCTACCAAGAAATATTTTGAGGTACAATATATATTATGTCCTAGTGATTTCACCTTTGCAGGATTAGTAAGTATTGGTTTTAAAGTATTTTCTAGATCAACATCACCAAATTATAATTCAACATAATTCAGCTTGTCAAAGACAGATATTTATGAAACAAAAGCAAGCTGGACCTGTCCATTAGGACAACGGGGTGTGAAATGAGTTGGGGACTACAGCTCAGGGATCCAACCTAGCAGTGTTTGTTAATTGCAAAGAGGGAGAGGTTGAGGCATCCTTTTTCCTTTCCCAGTACAGTTCTCTTGAGCCATCTTGATCCAGGAGACTTCTGAACAGAAGTAATGCAGTGTAATTTGACACTGACGCTCTCTGCTCCTTCCCAAAGATAAACAGCTGCTTCCTAACAATCAATGATTCAGAGCTGTGGCAAGTCCACTCCAACATTTTGCTGGAGAAAGAACGCATGCACAACCCCTCTCCAGCTGGACTAAAGAAACTAAAGATGAAGCCCCTCTGGAGAACGGGACAGAAATGGACAGAAGCATTGCAGGACTTACTTAATAGACAGCTAGTCTCATAGAAAAGTCTTATGCAATAAGACCAACACCTAATAATTTTTGTAATATACGAACATCGATCTAGGATACATAAACAAACTGTCTGTAGACTAAAGGACCTGAAACATCATTCATTTTACAGCATGACATTTCAAGCTGTTGTCACCTCAGAGAGGTGTAAAGATACAACCTTGGGAACCATTCTAGATCATACAAGAGGCCCCTAAACCTTCATACATCAAGAAATGACAAAAAAAAAAAAAAAAAAAAGAGTTTGAAGTTAGGAATATATTACTTCAGTAAAAGTAAGTTAACTTAAGAGACAGCCAGCCATGAGTTAGCAGAACAATTATGGTCTGACTCCAGCAAATTGAAGTAAAAACTCACCATTTTGGTACAGCTCAGCTGTGAGACATAAGCATGCTCTTATTGATGGCTGTTTACAGAGCCCTCACTGACCTGGTATTATCAATTATGCTAAGACAGAACCAGGTAAGGAAAAAAAAAAAAAGAGATACAGAATTTGGCTTCAATAATTTCAACCAGCTTTAGCCAAAGCATTCCTTATGTAAGCATTTTAACAACACATAAGGACATAACATGAAGACTAAACTAAAAAATTCTCACTTAATGTTTAAGTTCAGCATAGATTATGATGACAACTGAAGATATAACGAAGAACGCTTTTTCACAGTAAGATGAAATTCCTTTCCTGTTTGAATAATTCATTCAGAAACACTGCATATGATTAAAGTATGTCCTATGAAGTACAAAAATAAGTCAACATGAATAGGCTCTCATGCATGGAACTGGATAGTTAACCAGGGTGGGAGAAGGAGGTGATTTTGTCTAGAAGTGAACCAACAGATATCAGCATAAGGAACAATACAATCCAACACCACCACTCCACTCACAGCTGCTATATTCTGTGACAGCACACACAAACTAATGGATTAACAAAAGCTAGTAACAAAACAATAACAAATAAAGTCTGCAGGAACAAGCAGGAAGTACAGATTTCTAGGATTAATCATTGTACGCATAAGGATCTGGACTACAACAGCATGTAGAATCCTTTAGGAGCTATTTTCTGCTAGTGTTGTGCCCATTCCTTTCTGCTATTAAGTTCTACAATCAGTTTCTTACAGTTTGCTGACTTCATACCCTAGAGCAAGTGCTACGCTTTCCAGTTTGCAAGCAAAAAACCTGAAGTGAAGTTACTACACAAGTTGAGAAGACTGAATAAATTATGTCCAGCTACCTGCAACGGAGATTGCTGTGGAAGAGGCATTCAGAGACTGCGCAAAACAAATTAAAACTAATATTTCTAATTATTAGTAACTTTCCTATCTAAAATTACTATCTATAGCTATATTATGTTACTTCGACAGAGACTAACCAAAAGTCTGAAGAGGCTGTAAACCTACATGAATTCAGAAGTTTAAAACCTGACTTAGGCTGATTGACTAAATAAATCTGATATTCGAACTAGAACTTCCAGGGAGAATTTGGAATGAGCAATTTTGATTTCAGGACAAAGCAGAGGAAGAGTTTTATTCTTTTCTTTTGAACACCTTCTTCTGTCCTTAATTTCCAACTAAAATAGCAGGATAACTAGTCAGGAGGCTGCTCTCAAAACACAGAAGGACCACAGCATGTACTGCAAATGCTAGACCATGACAGTTTCAAGTATTAAGAGAAGTTTTCTTTAAAGCTTGAATAACTAATTAGAGAGTCAAAAAGACAAAACAGCTCCAAGCTCAAGAACAGGTCTGCCAGCCACAGAAAACTGCAAAGAGAAGAAATAGCAAAGGTAAGGCAAGAGTTGTAGAGATTACTTTTTTTTATTATTTCTCTTGCTTATACTTGTTTAAGTAGACAGTACGTAACTCAAAGGTGCAACATTCTCCAGCTGTCAGTTTTATTTTATAGGAGAAGTACACGTGAAATTCATGTAGCATCATAATTACAGTTCCCCCATGCTGATGGAGCTCAGGGACAGAAGTGTCACCAGGTTAATGCTTTATGATACTTTGAACTATAGTAGTCACTGACACAAGAAAGAAGCCATATTCATATCCCCAAAAGCAAGACTGACTGAGTGTTTTAAGGTATCTATGTGGGTCCACTGATACCCAATAAACATTACGCTTGCACTGTTCCTTCTACCTTTTATGCGAGATTAGGAGCCTGTATCCCTATTACTTGTTTTCATGAAAACCTCACAGAAGCATTACTAACACCATCCCCTTAAGTATGAAAGCAGCAACTGCACTAGAAGCTACAGAAGATGACAACTCACATTCCTATCCCTAAATTAAGACTAGCTTCTTTCAGAAATATTAACTAGACAATTTCAGCTTTATAAAGAGGATGAGGAAAAACAAACAAGGCATTTCTTAGGGAACACTAAGTTGTTCTTCACTGAAGCATGCCAAAGTTTTATGAAAAGATTAAAAACCCTTAGAGTTTGATCCTATTCACAAACCAATGTGAACCGAAGATAAATGAGCAGTTCATCTAAACCTACAAATGACAGCACATAGTTTTTGTCAGATACCTGAAAGCACCACTTTGCAAACACCTTCAGAAAGAAAGAACAGCAGTTCTTAGAAGCTAAAGAGAATCCTGAACATAACTTTTGAACAGAAACCAGACTATTGCTTAATCCTTCAAAAATATTAATACTCATATCTAAAGTGGTCTCAGGAAGGGTGTGTGTGACAGGGTGAAAACTCTAGGACAGCTTTGCACACTATACTCTATTTATTTGGTATCACATACTGTAGCCTAAGCTATCAAAACTAATATTCTGATTATGCAAATATTTAAGGTAGTATGTCTGCTTAGAGATCGCCTATATCCACCTTATGCTAAGGGAGCAGAGTTTAAAAAAAAGTAACACTCTACATACACACTTTCTTCAGAGACAGGTTTTTGGTTTTTTTTTAATTAGTGTTCCGATTTAACTTACTAAGAAGGCGACAACTCAATATTAAACACTCACTCTACATCCCCTCTACTGGTTTGAAAGTTATCCCAGAGTTCTTGTAAGCTTCCAGGCAAAGATTAGTATATACTGTACATCCCACTTACCAAAAAGTAACTCCGTAATTTCTGCATTGACCTTGTTCCCAGTTCTAGTTAAGAGACCTGAAAGTGGGAACAAGGATCATATAAAAGTTAATGAAACTTTAGTTGGCAAGCAGGACACACAGCATCAAACTAACCTCTACTTCTGAGCTCACAAATGCTTAAAATGTAGTAACTTGTCCCATGTCAACTGCTCCTTAGACAAAACAGAACTTTAGAAACATCCAGAAGTAATTCACAATACTAGTAGAAAGAAGTCCCTTGCCAAGTCTTGGCTACTGTTTTGGAAGCAAAAGCTATATGGCTTAAAAAAACACAAACCAACACACACCACACAAAACAAAACATCTAAGGACCACAGCTAAAACATGCGTTAGCAAGGTTGCATTGAAACAGAACAGACCGTTAGTTTACTTTCATGAATTTTATTAAGCAGAATAAGCATTAATATACATTTAAGCAAGCATTCTGCCAAAATAGCTTGATACAGTTTTAGTAAGGTATACGGTGATCTAAATGGAGTCACAAATAAAATCAGCAGGTTCAGTTACCAAACACAACATGGAAAAAGGGTCAGGTTATAAAAGATTGATACAAGAAGTTACTGTATATCAACTTTAAAGGAATCTAAGACACTGTTTTTGCTAACAATACCTGAGCTGAGAGCAGATACAGAAGAACTTAAGACCCATCTCATGAGAAGCTACCCCATATGCACAGTAAAGTCCTTTTACTTCTAGGCTGAGCATTTTAAAGATCATCACTTTAACACTTCCTTTCTTTAAGCATCCTGATAAACAGACTTAAGAGGCTTCTTTCAACTACATTTCCTTATAGCATGTGTCTCCATGTAAAAAAGTTTGTTTTGTTTTGTTTTTTTTTTTAAAAAAAAACAAAACACAACACCACAACAACACACACAACCTTTTAAGACTCAGGACAGCATACTAATTGCCCCACTTTGAAAACTATTCATGGCTACTGGTACCAAAAACTCAGACAAGAGAAAGGTCTTCTTTAAAAGCTAACAATTCAAGGTTGATTTATTTAATGCAGTCTAACTCTTAAGATAGCCTCAATTATCTGGAGCCAGGCAGAGGCTTTGATAACAGAGCTCGTAATACAGTCTGATCAGACTGGTTAGGCTGGCCTTGTTGATGAGTCATCTTTTGCTCTTCTTTCTCCAAATAGTCTGGTCAGAGGAAGAAAACCTCTTTTTTTTTAATGCTGGTGACAGCAAACAAGATCTGTGGAAAGGAATCACCTCCTACTGACAGTACTTCAGAATCACCATCTTCATTACTGAGCTGAGCAATTCCAGAATTTCCAAATTCACAGGACAGTGTTCTCCTGAAGTAAGACTATGACTGGAGTCAAGCATTGTATCAACTCCTGCTTTTGCAAAACTAAGCAAATTGAAACCCCACCAGACATTCCTTTTAGTGATAAAAGACTTAACATGTAGTATGTGGTCTTTGACAGCTAGATTTTTAAAACTAAGTCTACTGCTGAAATAAGATTACTTGTACTGGTTGTGTTCATTAAGTATTTAGTGACCTAATCAGCACACATTTTCCATGCTATTGTTTCAGTGCTTCCAGCATTTTCAATATTGTTCTGGAACTCCTCTGGGAGAGAAACCAGGAAGTTAACATGAATCCATCATTGCAAACCTAACACATAAGTCAGTCTGCTTTTAAAGACCAGACTTAAACAGTCTTTCAGAACTACAGAGGTCTGCATCTATATTCCTCAGTGTTTATTTCAACTACCATTCCAGTTACACATCTGATGAATACAGGACTGTTTATCATTTGAAGCAGTATACATACATCAGCAGACACCTTACCTGGGCCCGTTGCTGTCTTTTCTCTTGGCTGAAACATTGCTTTGTTCTGTTTTTGCACCTCTGTCCATATGCTCACTAGCATTCCTCTCCACAATTTCTCCCTCATCCAGTGCCCTGTGCAAACGGTAATTCACCATCTTCAAAACGATAAAGAGAGCTGCTATCACCGGGCAGTAGACAGCTACTATCATCATGGAAGAAGGAAGGGCCTTTCAAAAGAGAGTAAGAAAGAGTTAGTGAACACAAGGTCAAATGTCCATAAAAATACATGAAGTTATCTAGAGTTTAACAGTTTCTTTCATACAGAAAATATTGATCATACTGAAAATGAAGGTTTAAACACACACCCCCTACAGTCAAACTTTGTGTAGATTGTCAGAAGTCTAGCAACATAGAAAAAAGGAACAGTTGGACTACAAGATACCAAAGCACCACAGCAGCATACTAAGTAGACCTATCACTGGAGCTTGAGAACCAAATTCAACTCTTGTTCTCTTTTTGCAGGCTATTGGGATGTAAGACCTAGACTAGAAAACCTATAGCTAGCATGATTTTTTGTGTCACACCGAATATTTTTGATTAGTTGTTATGAATAAAAAGATGGGAAGATTTTAAGCAACTTGAAAACTAAACCAAGTACATGGTATGACCTTATTTCAGGGCTAGTACACAGCACCAAGTCCATTTTGGAAAAACTGATGCAAGTTTGACAGCATGGTGGATGGGAAAAAACCTGCCCAACTACCCAACACAGACGTTTTGACTTAGCTTGTCAGCTTCCAACAGCTACTCTTCAATGACAAGATACCGATCAGTCACAAAAGCCAAACTTTTCCCTACCTGCATACAAAAAAAAGGCTGTTTACAATTGTGGTTCACACATTTGAGCAGCAGTCCGCAATAATAATGTGCAAGATCATACGCTCTGAAGACTATTTGTGCTAGACCATTACATGCCCATGGAAAGGCAGCCAACACAGATGTTCTGAAGAGAGTTTTTCAGCTGTGTCAAAGATGGCCAGAAGCCACATGAAAACCTCAGTCCCAAATTCAACTTTTGCAATTCTACTCAGAGTTAAGACTTCTCATGCAACTTTTTCTGAGGCCCATAAGGCTTTTACAGATCAACCACTTCAGCAACAGATACTGATTAAGTGCGGCCTAATAGCTATTTAAAAGAAGTGTTCAGAGTAGTAGTTAAACTTCAGATTTCACTTCAAGGCTTTCACCCTTCTAATTCACCTTTTATTCATATTTATAACTTTACCATTTCCCTAGGCAGTCACTAAACAAAATGAGACATTAACTCTTAGTCTTCATCCACAAATAAACCACTTTCCTTACAAAAGCAACAAGAGTCTGTGTTCTCAAATATTTTGCTGCATCACTATCCTTTACCCCACCGATAGTATAGTTTGATATAAAATTCTAACAGCCATAAATATATATACACACACAGACATACAACAATCAGAATTAAAGAGCATTTGTTACCCAGCACGAACATTAATTTAGTAGATAAGAACAAATTAACTGTCTTTTTAAACCTCTTACCCTAAGGAGAATTCCAGCTTGTTTCGTACACCTAGTCTCCCTCCCTATACAGACCATTGCAAGAGAAGAGTCTTTATGGTGATCAAAGCCCCATGCACATCTTGCAGAATCAGAAAGGGAACATGACTGGAGAACAAGACAGAGTGCCCTCTCTATTCTGCACATAATGCCAGTTTTAGTCATTTAAAAGAGATCTGATTACAACATTAATATTTACACATTCAACAGCTTATTAGTCCTAGAAGAACTAGCAGTGCTCATCACACAACTTAAACCATGAGTTTAGCAAAAACAGTTTGAAGAGATCTCCAAATACAAAATATTGTACTAATAAAGGGGATAAAAGAATAAACATTTCTAAATATTGTATTGACTGTTGACTTCAGGACAAAACCAATCCTTAATCTGGCTGCTCACTTTCTGGCAGTAAGCAAAAACAAATAATCAATGTAACATTTTTAAAGCCAAACAAGTATAAATAATTGAGTCTGGAATCAATCAGGAGGCAGGTAACTTATTAGGATTATTTTCTTAAAGAGATCAAGTTTAACCTACCTTTTCCTCCAACACAAGTTAAGTCAACACCTAATATAACATTTGAAGCAGGACAGGCAAACTAAGCCGAGGTATGCTAACTTAGATTTTGCATGCTGAGCTGGACAAGACCCTAATGGATAGGGAGATTCACTTACCAAGCACCACCTGAGGAGAATGAGGAAACAAAGCTATTTAAAAACAGCATCAGTAAGCAACCAGGAGCCACAATGATGCTAATGGCATCCATACAACCCCTGAAGCAATGCTACAAGGGTTTCCTCAAGAAATGCGGTGCTTCCGCTTTCAAGAACTTCAGAGGCAGCTAGCTCCCTGCAGGCAAGGGCAAGCCCATTAACTTTGGCAAAACGTATGAGCTTCCTGTACCTGCTAAGCAGTCTGCTACCCAATCACAAACACAACTTCAACTATCCTCTCTTTTACAAGTACGTAGTGTTCAGAAGCCATTACCAGAAGAGTCAGGTGAATGCTAGATTACAAAAGCTAGAGTTAGTCTATAAAAGACATGCCTATACTTTTCTATCTGCACAGCTCTTCAATTTCTCCCCCAAACTCTGTCAGCAGTGAGGTCACACAGTGTATCCAGTTTATCATGTGGAATGCAAATCTACACATCCTGTTCTGCAAAGGAAAGCTTTCAGAACAAGCAGGGAAAAAGGCAAAACACCTCATGTAACTTGCAGCAAACCCAATAAAGAATTAAAGGATGCTTTTTCCTCACATACTGTTTCCAAAGGATTGCAGAAAGCTAAAAAATAAGTTATTCACTACTTTTCATTCTTTGTATTCATTAGTAGTCACTCCTCTCTGGATAGGACATATACTCTGGGAATAGAAGAAATTTTAGCATGTCCGGCATACTCTGCTGTCTGATCACACTTCACATTAAGTCTCACCAGTAACTCGCCTGCATTCCAGCCTCAAGAGGAAGAGTTACTGCAACCTAACCTAAACCACTGGTGTCTTCTCTATTTCTCTTTGCCAAACTTAGAAGCATCCATTTGGGGTCTTCTATCCACAAGCCCAGGCAAGTTAAAGTGAGATTAGTATTTTAAACTGTGCTTGACATTTTACCACATTTGAGGAGAGACCTCTCAGCAGCATAACTGAGTATCCTATACAACACCACCTTCAAGACTGGAAAACAAATCTAAGTCCTACAAATTTGCAGCTAGATCTCATTTCAGTTCTTTTCACAAGTACTAAAGCATTTTTATTGGGCACAACAGACTAAAAACCTCAGGTTAGAGCTTGCTAGCAGACACCAGCTGACTACAAGTCTGTAGCTGCAACAGCATTTCAGAGAACATCCCATTTTACTGCACATCTCTAGTCACTTCCATTAGCACCAAAACATACACTGAACAGCAGTAGTCACAACTGAAGCTCTTGTAGGAGAGAAGAGCTAGACATGACCATACAAAAACTGCCTGCTTTAATTACATTCTGTTGAAAACTTCAGTCATCTAACAGCTCAACAAACCCAATCATTAGATAAACTCCTAGCTGAAAGTATTTCCCTAAATCTTAAAGGGAAGTTAAGTAGTACTCTCAAAGATGGAGGGGGAGGGGAAGGAGACTGATTTTCTACCACCTTTCCCTCAGGAGTTACTTTCCAAATTTAAACCTTTCAAAACAACTTATGAAATCCATACTATACATGTGAACAAAGGTAAGATGCAGGAATGCACAGCTGAGGAGTGGGACTGTCCCTTCTGGAAGCTGCTGGCTGTCATGTCAGCTCAGCTGTATCACAGCACACCTTTTGCGAAACAGTGCGTAGAAAAAGTCTTAAACACTCCTATATTCCAGCAGTCAACCTAGAACAGAAAAGAAACCTCAGACCACTAGTTACAGGACTAAAGTATTCCCATTTGAACTACAAAGGTAACCATACCTTGATTTAGCGTTTCAAATACATAAGTGTCAGAAACCAGAGGGAATTTCATTGATCACAGACTGTGCTGCATACTTATGAAGAAACAAAGACTACATGGATCTTACCTAACCACATCTAGCTTTAGCTAGACGCTATAGATGCAATGAAGTTTCCAGATTCTTTTCAAAAAGAGGTATGTAGGTGTTACCTGTTGAGAACATTCATAGGAAAGTCTTCCAACCCAAATCAAATTGCAAGTCCTTACATAAAAGTGATATCAATCAAACATTCATTAAGCAGTAACAGTTGTCTTGTAAAATGCTTTCAAGTTCAAGCATCTTGAGGCCAGTATTTTATAGAAACATTCATACTGGAGAAAAGGAAATATCAAGAAACAGCAGATGTAGTTTTGTCATCATTTTTTGTTTATGAACAGCCAGAGCCCTTAAGAACTGTTGTTATCAGGAAGCATGTTCAGTTACAAGTTATCTAGTTTTTGACTGAAACGTCAAGGTGTACAAATGAAACTTGAGTAGCAAAGAAACTGTATGTGGCTTACAGTAATGTGGGATACCAGGGATTCTCATCACACATGTAACTTCAAGTACTTAAACTCTTAGTTGAAGAAACAGCACCTATTTCAGAAACTTCACTGGAAAAAGTCTTTCATATGAAGCTACATTTATATGACCTATTTCTATAACTATGTACACAAGTCAGGAAATTAAGTGCCTATTAAGTGAACTGTTGTCTAAATGAGCTTGACTTTGACAGACAAGTTCTGTAGGTACATACAAGCCCATCACCCCAAGCAAGGTACAGTCCTGGCTCCTCTTCAGTCACTGGCAAAGTTCCCCGAGTGCTGGAGCCAAGACTTCACCCCCTCCTGCGCACGTGGTGGGGCTGAAACAGCATTCCGATTAGGGGAAGTGCTTTGGCAGCCTCTTCTCTTCCCCTCCCCCTTGCAACACTGATGCATAACATTGGCCTCTGCATTTAGGGTATTTTTCCCAACTCTACCACTATGTTTTACAACCTAGTTGTACAGTTTCCCCATATTGTAGCATATTTTCTTCTCCCAACTTGAGTTTTGGATTAGAGTAGAAAGAGGGATCAGCTCTTACAACAGATATGCAGATCAACAGGCACAGCTGAGTCTGTTACTGAATACAAATATCCAAACAAGATAGATTTAACTAGTCTAGAAAGCAGTAT